GTTTTCAACTGCATCCTTATTAGTAGCGTTGTTGTAAGATTGTCCCCTACAATTATCAAGTAGTAGTCCATTTGTTTCTAAAAAGTTTGTAGAATGTTAAATAAATGTAAGCCAGTATGACTACTAATTTTAATGAAGGATACACTTCTTTCAAACACTTTTCCCCGAAAACAGCATCGTAATACAATAGCATGTTGATCATTGTGAGATAGATCTGGAGTAGAATCCATCACAATTGAATAATACTTTGTGTCGTCATTATTGAGTTATAATTTGTTGAATTATCTGTCGGCCCATAATCTCAATTATTTCCTCATATAATGTTTTTGATAAGTACCGTTCGATAGACGCGCACATGCATGGGTTGATTGATCTCAGGGTTGCCAACCTTATAATAGTTTTTTTTAATATTAGATATTTTTTTTAATTCAAAATATCACCTATTGTTTTCAGTGGGGACTGGGGCCCTTTGTATCCACGGGGTCCTGGGCTGCAGCCCAAAAAGCTCTTAAGTAAATCCGCCCCTGTGATATACCATTCATAAAAACTCAAGTTTTCCTGTCTTACGAAAAAAATAAATCACGAAATCGATTTTAATAAGTTATTCGAAAATCTAATGCGGTTTTAAGTGATCCAATTACATGGAATCAGGCATGAGATGAGATCCAATAAGATCAAAAAATACTTCAACACAGTCATGCAAATTTGTCAGTATATTTAAAGATGTTTACAAGTCCTGAGATAAATTTCCACCGACATTTATCAGGGTTGAAAAATAACTAGAAGCTGTATCTTTTCACTTCAAAAATTACGCTTGAGCCCCGCATACGCGAATATTTAGTAAAACCCGCAAAATATTTAGGTAAGGCTATTACAGAGAAAATACCGAAAAAAGTTTTAACGGCATAAAATCTTACATTTTTTGTCAAATTTTAATTTCTTCCATTTTGTATCAGTTGGATATGCTTCTTTTCCACAAAATATTGAGAATAAGTGATAAACTGTATATTAGATATGTATAGACTTATACAATACATCGTAAATTTATTATATGAACATATATCTTTTTAAATCATCACTATCTATACTAATACTTGAATAATTCTAACCAGATAACTGACTACACTAAAGTCAGTGGCACGGCAGCCAATAGAGGGCCAAAGCCTACTGTGCCCATCTCAGTTTTTTTAATCTTGGGCTCTGGGGTGCAGGAGCCGAACCCCCAGTTTTTAGTTCCCAAGCATGCTTGGTACTCATTTATCGACCCACTGAAGGAATGATAGGCTGAGTCAACCTTGCCCGGCCTGAGGATCGAACCTAGGACCTGTTGCACGGGAGCGCGAAGCGCTGCCACTTAGCCACTGGGCGTCGATAACGTACCAAAACAAGACAAATTATTATCAAATTCGAGTTAACTTTGATTTTTTTAAAGTAAAATTTATGGAAGAAAATTTATTTTTATTTTATAACTGTCGTTGAACAGCCGAACCAGTTTTGAGTTTACGACCACTAATGTTCAACACTGAAGCCTTGCAATTTTGAACACAATCCAGAAGACAAGGGAGCTCCTGGATCAAGTAGTGGGAGAAATTTGGATGGAATTAACCCGTGTTTGCGTTACATGGAGAGGAAAGTACAAAAACCTCCCACGGTTAGCCTGGCGGCAAGGGAACTCTAACCCATGAACCGTCTACTACTGAGGATATTTCACGTCAGCACTGGGGTCGATACAAGCTGGATGCGGACTTCCTATCTACCAGCCATTGCTGGGATTCAAACCTGGGTCACCTCATTGGACGGCGAACACTCTATCCCCTGAGCCATCGTGGCTCTATATTGTAATTTTCTAAGCTACATTACATTAACACGCATGATCTCCTTCGAATTTTTCACATTACAACAGCAAAGATACAGGCAGTCTTGTAATCTCCCACAGTCTTTAAAATCTCCCACAGTTAGCCTGAGATCAAGGGAACTCCAACTCATGATTCGTCTACCATTCAGGATATTTTACGTCAGCACTGTGGAATTTGAATCGACTAGACATCGGTGGGATTCGAACCCGATTCACCTCATTAAAAGGTGAACACTTTACCCCCTGATCCACCAAGGGCAAAAGAAAATCTATTAACATTGTTAGTTTGTCAATAATTAAAAGAAACACACACACATAAAAGAGAAGCACCAACGATTACATATTATGTTAAAACTTTATTGGCATCATCCCACAATTTCAAGGACAAAACAGTGGGTAGAGTAAAAAAATACTTTCCAGCTCACAAGCCGGTTAACCAGATGTTCACACATCACTTAATTGCTTCCTTTCACTAAATCGAGACATAGCTTTAAAAGAACATAAAAATACAAAAAAAGCAGGTAGTAGACAGGCAGTAACTAATTCTCCAGTTTCTAAAGCTTATATTGCACGAGTTAATTTCTTCCTCTCATTTACTTCCAACTAGTTTAAAGAAATGAAATGTACAGAAAAAATTTGATTGTCCAGCATTACTTATGTCCCCATTTGATTTCTTTATGTAGACTAAAATAAATTATTTTAGGTACCATAACAGCTCGGAGTTACACAATGAAGTTAGTTAACAATTGGGGCAAGATCAAAATTAATTTAAAATAGGCAATGCGATTAATTAGTTTATCAATTCAATTGAGAACTAATGTATTTGGCTCCGTTTTTTCACAGTTGCTTGTTTGGGAAGTTATATTGTTCTGAATCAAAGATGTATTATTTATTTTTTTACAAAATTTGGATTTACTTAAGCCTTTTCCCGAGAACTTCAATTCAAAAGTCTTTACATAATTTTCAATAATATAGAACCTATTAGTGTTTTTACTAGAAATCAAAATTCAAACTTATAAATACGCACATTGATGTTAAGTGTCACATTTTATTCTACAATAAAAACATTTTGTAGCATTTATTTTTAATTCACTCAAAAACTTTTCCAGGGTAGCCTGAATTTTCCGTAAACCTCGTTTGTGCTATCAGATATTTTCTGTACCATGTTTTCAACTGCATCCTTAACAGATAGAAATAATTTCACAGCTTTTACAAAAACTATTCATAAAAATTTTAAAGACATATTTTTTTTTAAAAAAAGTTAATGTCAGATCAAATTTCAATTAAATATTTTCCAGAAACAAGTCATTAGAAAGCTACAGACTGAAATAATGTGGACATTTTTTAAATTTACTGCTTACTTGAATTTTAAAAAATAAATTTATCTGATAATATAAATAAAATACCAATTACTTTTTCAACAATAATGATAAATTTAAACAATTTCTCATTCATTGCCAGTTAATTAAATTTTTAGTGTACATTTCATAATAAACTGGACCAATAAAATTAATGCAAGTTTTAAACACTATAAGTTTAAATTAAAGACATGATGTACAAAATACAATAAGTGATACCGAAAAATAACAATGGATTTTACACAAATAACACTGAATATCACTGCCTGGCTACCACAAAAACAATGTAAACAAAAACAATACAGCTTATGCACTAACGCAAAATGAAACCCTGTGTTAACAATGAACATGATCTCACTTAAAGAATACAGTTCTAAGCAATGAAATCCCAATACCTTTTAACATAAAAGGCAGCTGAAAGTTTTTTACAGATATTATTTGGAAGACAACAAAAAAAGTAGTCTAAATTAGATTGAATATTTCCCAGTAGATTTGCAATGAAATTTGAATTAATAATAATTTTTTTATTGTTTAAAGCATTCTTAATTTTTAGTTCAAATTTGTCGTAACAATTTAGATTCCAATTATGTCGATATTGTAATTTCTACTGACTTTTTTCAATCGACTAGAATTCACATTAAATAAAGTAGTGCAGGTTTAATTGTTGCTGAAATGCTGTTGCCTGATTTCGTTTTCAATTTTCAAAAAGTGCTTTTTTATGTTCATTACTTTAAAAATAATTTATTTTTACTGAATTGTAAATTTAGTGTGATTTTTAAATTATGAAAGAAATCTAATTTTTAAAGATAGAAAAAGAATTTTGAATGTAATTTCTCTTTTCAAAATAAACAATAGAAACAGCAGATTTATTACCTTGCATTAAAAGCTCTATTTTTAAGAAAAAAAATTGCCAAGAAAATAAAGCCTAAATTTAATTGCTGAAAAAAAGAAAAAAGTTTTTTTAATATGTTGGTTACAAGAATTGAATAATTTTAAAAACAAAAATTTGAAATATTTTTAAAAAATTATTCCATTTTTTTACACCTAGATTAAGAAAATATATAAATAAACTAAAGCCTATGAATAATTCTTAAATGTTACGAGTTCAAAACAATGATAATTCCGTTTTAAATATTAAAAAACTAGGTCAAAAATTAAGAATTTTCTTCATATTGGAACTATCATTTTTATTATTAGTATAGAAAAGGTAAGGATGGCAAAAGTATGTATGCATAATGGACATGAATATTTAATAACATGTTTAATTAATAACATGTAACATAATAAATAATGACATAATTGAAGAGCTTGGGATGATAAACTAATAAGCCACCCTTCTGATGAAGATGACATTGTTACATCAATCTGTTTGTTTCCAGATAGGTAGAAAAAGTTTCGATAGCACAGAAATATTTTATTACCTGTGTGCATATCGCTGTACTTTTTACCCAAAAATGCCTTAAAAATGTGGCTTGACATATTGCCACTAACTCTTGAATTGTTATTAACTCAAAAGAATTAAGATTAACTCAAAAGAATTAAGTCCTTAAGAGATGTAATTTTATACGGTAAAAGTACTTTTTTAAAAAAAAACGCTTTAATTTTAAAAATTTATCACTCATATCAGCATTTATGAAACTGCAAATAAAATTTAAACTGCAAATGAAATGTAAAGAAATTGAAATACTAGTTAGATACATTATTTAAAAAATATTAAATTTTGTTCAACTTGTTTTAAATAACTATTTGAAGCACCATTCTATTTCCAGTTTCAAATTTGGAACTAATTGAAAAGCTTAGGAACAAAAATTTCAATTTGTTACATCAACAAACTCAATCTTCTTAATGCCAATAAATAATTTCAATCATTTTTTTTATTTCTTCCTAGATTCATATACACACTTTTATAATTTATACATTTTCAGTTTATATACATAATTTACATTATATAAAAATTAAACTCATATTGAAGAAAGAAGCCTAAAATTTTTCAGCTCTCTGATTTTAGTTTTCCTGATGATTTGTTAGTTAATTTAAAACAAACATAACTTAAGTAAAAACTTTTTTATTCACACCAATTTTCCAAAGAAATAAAATATTTTTTCTTCTTATAATTATAGGAAAATAATAACTTAAATTTACACAAAAACGAAGCAAAAATTAATAATGGAGTATTTTGCAAAAAATCAAATTTATAGAGAATCGGTTAATTTAAAGTGAGTAAAATTTCGACACATAAAACTTTTTTTTCCTTTAAAATAAAAAGAGCCCCAAAATGAGTTATTTAAAATTAAATGTATATTAATAAAAAGAATAAGATTGAAAAAGCAAAAAAATAATGGCATCATCATATTAAAATCATATATAAAAAATACATTGACATAATTATTATACAAACATTAACTTTTTTGAAACAAATATCAGAAATAAATTTTTTTTATCAAACTTCAATTCAGTTTTAGTTTTCAAATTATGCTATGAGTCACAAAGATGTAGTTTCTTATCTCTGTTCAGAGAAAGATTTAATAGTTTAATCTTATAAGTTAATATATCATAGCCTTTAAAAAAAAATTAAAATGAGAAAAATCTCATCATCTTTATTGTTAAAACATGAATAATAAATCTATGTTGTTATAAAAAAACAAAAAAAAAACTTTCCTTAGCAATCTCCTTCCTACAAAGTGGTTTATTAAAAACTGCAAAGTGCTTTAAAAATTTTTTTAGGTCAAATTATAACAGATAACAAAGTCTGAAATATAAAATAGTACAGCACTTTCATATGTCAAGTATATTTTCCATGTTATCATTTACTGAAAAATTGAGGCCTTTCCATAAAGTTCTTAAGTACATACGTATTTTAAAGACTCTTCTTTTTAGAGAAGTCTTTTCATCGAAAGACTTGTATAGTTCTTTCTTCCTTTTTGACTAAAAGAATACTTGTCTCCGCATTCCATAATGAAGAGAAGGCATTCAAACATTTGTTTAAAGAAATAAATATAGTATCAAATAATTATTTATCTGTTTCGAAAGACTTCTTTTACACACAAAGATTTCTTTTTTAAAATGTGCACAGCATTGGCAGAGGAAAAAGTGGCACGGAGTAATAGAATTTTTCTTTCTTCGACCAACGAGTTCGTAGTCAAGGGGAGACCGGCTCAGGCGGTGACTAAGATACATACCATGCACAAAAAAGTGAATGCAATGGTTTTTACCAAACATGTTCACATATTTAAATAACAAAAGATGTTTTCAAATAACAAAATGCTGAGATGCTGTGTTTTTTTAGGAGCCAAAAAACTATAGATAATATTTGTATATATATAATATATACACTTCATCACATACGAGTTCAACAATAGTATACAAAATGGCTTGATCACAAGTACGAGACGGGGAGAGAGTTTGCTCGTTTTAATATTTTTTTATCCTTTTTCGAACTACAGCAGTTAATAAACATGATTGTAGTTGTCACATGCAGTGCACTTCATTTATGGAGGGGCAAAAGAGTTTGTAAACATTTGGCCATCCATAAAACGAAAACAAAAGGCTTTTTAACACAGTGAAGCTTCACCTCCAGATATTGTGTAGGCTACTGTTTCTAACTTTCCAGCCAGATGTTGTGACTGACATACTGGATCTGAGTCAAGAGTCTCTAAAATCTGCAATGAAACATACAACATTACATGATGCATTTTAAACAAAAAATAAAATAGTTGCTAAAATTTTTTTATACAGTTAAGCTATTTTGAATGCAAACTCAGAAAATTCAGAATATTTAATACAGTCGGACATCCATTTAACGAACTTCCATTTTGCGAATTTCTATATTTTGAGATTTTTTCCGAGGAATCAAGAACATTTCAGAAATTTCTACGTAAAATAACTTCCAAATAGCAAAATTATTTTTCTATTTAACGAACAGTTCTTTGGGATCCACTTTCCCTATTTCCCAAAATATTTCAGAACATTTCAAACTTTAACACATTTTATGGGAGAAATGACCTTTAATTAATTTTCGCAGCCACTTAACTTTTAGAGAAAGTAGTAAAATCCTTATTCTTTTACATTTGTATTAAAAACAAAAAACTTAGACCAAACGGATTTTATTATTACCATTAAACTTAAGATCGCATGTTGTAATTTATGTTCAAATCAACTCCGTAGTCTTGCAATTTTGAATCTAATGCAGAAGACAAGGGATCTGCTGGATCAAGTATTGGGAGAAATTTGCCTTTGTGGAGGACTTTTTGATGGAACCAACCAGCATTTGTGTTACATGGAGAGGAGAACCTCCCATGGTTGATCTAAGGGAACTTTAAACCATCACCTGTCTACAACTGATGATATTTAACTTTAGCACAGAGGTCGAAGCGAGCCGGGTGTGGAATTTGTACCGACCAGTCGATGGGATTTGAATCCGGTTTGCCTCATTAGAAGGCGACTGCTCTATCCCCTGAGCCACCACGGCTCTAATAGAGATATAAACAATTTTGTTTACATTAATGGTAAATACTCAAAACTTACTTGATTTCCATATCTGGAGACATAAATATACAATTCTTTTAAGGCATTTACACTATCAACTTCTCCAGCATGAGCCTACAAAAATTAACATTTTAATATTAAAAAATAGCTCAATTCATAACAATTCAATTTTTTTTTAATTAAATATACTTGGATTTAGAAGAGGGACTAGCCATTTACACATTATTAATACACTTAATTTGTCTCAGCATAGAGTAATAAAAATTTGTTTGAAATTGTAAGTAAAAATAGCACAAAATTAGCAAAACTAACCAGTCATAGATTCAGATATTAAAAATTGTTGGTATTAGAGGTATTTTTATTTTATTTTTTTCACAGTATAAATTGAAATTAATCCTTTATCAAATTTATGATTGTTTTCAGTAGACAACTAAAATTAAAATTCTGTGACCACTATGTTTAGTTTAACTCTGATTTCTTCTTCTACTAAAAATTCAAATTTTAAATCTAAGAGATCAAAAAATTATCATAGTTTTTGTATACAAAATACAAGTGGTAAGTAAAATGTAATGCTTAGTAAAATGACTAATTATTTTATATTGCTGATTTAGTTCAAATATTTCACTCGAACGAATTCTATCTGATCTATTATTGACTGCTCGTAAAATGTTAAGCTAATTATCTGTTAACCTTCCAAACACTAACAAACAAAAAATTTATAACACAATCATTAAACTGGATCACTTTCTGTAACATCATTATTAAAGAAAACAATGCAATATATTATTGTTTAAAAACAAAGTAATGGCTTCTGAAGGGAAATTACCATTGAAAGCATTTGTAAGGACACACACATCTCTTGCTCTGTGACAGGAGGAAGATTGGCAACGTCTTGGTAAAACCTGTTTACCATTTTCCTGTAGGTGGGGATGTCTCTAGCAAATAGGAGCTTATTGGATGGGGAATCCTGAAAAATTCAATAATGATTACCATTTCAATTAATACTATTTCAACATTTTATACCAAATAAACTATAAGTACTAAGCAAATAATTTATGAAAGAATTAAGACAATATAATGAAAACACTAGAGGAGCTTTTTAGAAGTAAAAAATCTTACTTCAATACTATAAGTGTCAATATCGATATTTAATACATAACAATTTTCACATAACAAAAAAAGCCTTGCACTTGGCTTTATAAAATTCACACCTCTCAATATTTTATCAACTCTTACTATTCTGTTCAAAAAATATGGTCTTAGCTATGTATGAATAAAATATATATACCTTTCCTAATCTGTGCTCAGATGTTGAACAAGAATCCATAAATGTTTGAGCAATAACAGACAAGCATGAATCCACAATCGGTGTTTTCTCTATGTCGAACACAAAATCTGGATTTTTGACCAAATTTACCCAAAACCTCAGAGGCAAACTAAAAATACAATTAAATAAAAGCATTTAAGTACAATAATTAATATAGACAGTTAAGATAAGTGTTGAAAATAAAAACATGAACTACTTTATCAAAAATAATATTTTATGTCTCTATCTTTGTTTAATTTGAGAATAATAAATTGGTGGAAAAAAATATAATTTTTTAATGCCCATTTATTTAAACTGTAAGTATAAATATATAAGTACATTTGTATATTTATTCTCGATAAAAAAAATTTAAAATGTTTAGAAGCATCAATTATATGTTAAGAATTTATACATTATAAAGTTATTGAGAAAAAAATTTACCTGTTACTTTTCCAAGCATGAACAACTTCAGGGTCTGATATACCATATCTTGCAGCTGCTTCATCAAACAGATCAAACAGCCATTTTACTGCAGGTGGTAGAGATTCTTTAGCAGACAAAATAGTGGTTAAAAAGTCATCAACAAATTTTTGGATAGTACCCTATAAAATGCAAGACAAATATAATAGATTGTTATATCTATAATTATAAATAATGAAATAAAAATACAACACTAAAAAATGACAATGCATTTATTTAAATATGTTGTTTGATATCACTAGTTTTAATACATTTTCTTGCTGTTACTACATAAACATTTTTTGAAGCTATTATAACAAAGTAAATTTAAGTATCTAGAATTAAAATTATAGAGGTTTGATAGTTTTTTAATTAATTGCAACATAAATTACCTAAATGTTGACTTTTGAATTACATTTGTTGCATTAATACAAGAAACAGAATTTAACTTTTTATTCAATAATAACAGATTTTAATGTTAGATAAAAATTGTTTTATAATTCTATATACATTTTTGACATCACTTAGATTTCAGTACAAGCTAGAACTTATAAGTATTTACAAAATAACCTAAGAAAAGAAAACAATCAAACTTGACAAATAGCGGTGTTAAATACAGAAAGTTGAAGGAAAAGCCTGATTAAATATTTAAGAAGGATTTTAAATAAATAGAATCATTAAATAATGAAAAAGAAAAGAAATCCTACTTTTGTAGATAGCAGCCTGGTTAGGAATATTTCTGGGATAGCTTTATGGCAGTGATCTTTGTGATAGTCATGGTGGTCATCCAAATTTCTGACTAGATGCCAGTATCGAACTCTAGGGCCATCTTCGATGCAATTCCCCATGTGAGGTGAACCAGATATCAAAGGACCGTTATACGCTGATCCTAAAGAAATATTTTAAAACATGTCTAAATACATCGGTATTTTCTACGGAAAATGAAAAGCATTTTTTGTCAAACTGCTTTGAAGAACTGAGTTTGTGTTTGTCAGAATTAGAAAAAGTGTGAGCAATAACTTACGAAGACAGTTGAGCATATCTTTCCGTCTTGCAACCAAGCACATGACGGCCGATTCTCTTATTCCATAGTGTGCGAGAGTATTAATACGCTTCCAGCCATTGGCTGCTTTGGCTGTGAGATCTTCATCAGCAAGGATCAGGTGACCTCCCCTACCATGTCTCCATTCTGCAATGTTAAAAAGCCCCATTAAATATAAAATAAAAAAGTTATCTATAAGTGACAATGAGTAAAAATAAATCTTTACAAATAATTATTTTTTTTAAAATTGACTCTAAATAAGATATTATGATTAACTGATTATGACTCTTACAATTGTTGTTCTTTAACCCTTATGACTCTGATATGTTTTGTGAATTAAATAAAAAGGATTTATTTAAAAATTTAAGTATCAGTTTGTATTTAAATACAAATAAAGTTAGGTAGAAATAATAAAAAAAATTTAAGGAAAAAAAAAACAAGCAATTATTTTTATAAATTACTCTTAGCATATTTTTACTCCATATAGTGAAAATTAATAAGAAAACAAAAATAAATTAAATACTTGCTCTGAGTTATGCATTCTAAGAAATATTTTATTTTAACCCACTTTAATTGAATCTCTAAGGAAGTTCAAATACAAATTTTTTCATAATACCAAAATTGACTTCTACTTTTCATAAATAGTAATAAATATTCTTGATCTTTGCACTTACTGCAACCATTGTCAGTTGCAATTTACAGTTTATTGTGAGTTACAGTTGATAATGAGAATATTTGCTATGACTCATATTTAGTGCAAATGAATCATTTCAGAAATAAAAAAAAAAGTTTATTTTCCGAAGCTATTGATTTATTTCAAATGCATTAATAACATACCTAAATCCACATCATATATTGAAGGTCTTTGGGAGAAAGGAGTATTTTTATACAGAGAATCCAATATCTTTGCCTTAACTTGACTAATCGTATCACAGTCATTTACTTTACATTGCATTTTCTCATCTTGATCCTCATGTATAACTTGTATTGTCTGAAAAGGTTTAAAAGGTCATAAGTTTGTAAGAACACAATGCTTCAAAAATAGATGTACAAGTGATAATTAACCAATATGCAATCTTGGAAATTATTGAAGTTAACCAACATTAACTAAAAATATTTTTTTGAAAGAATAAATTTTTTTTAGATGTTAGTTATTTTAAAGAAAATGAATATGCATGTTCTGAAATCTAATTGTGTTTAAATGATCACTAAAGATTCCTTCTACATGTTTAATAAATAAATAAATTAATTAATAATTGTAATAAAAAAACTGAATAATAGTGACAATCCTAATTTAGTAAATACAGATTAAATTAAATTGCCTGATATGAATAAAATTATTTAAGATTTTACAAAATAGCTGATACTATAATTTTATAACTAATGAGTAATAAACTAAATATTTTAGACACAGGTAATTTTACAAAATTATCACACTATAATTACCAAAAATTTAAGTACAAAATATTTTTATGATGTTTATTATACTTTTGAAATGAACAGAAATAGACATTTAATTCATCATCATCATAGTTGGCCAGACAGTCCAATGTGAGCCAATGCCTTCCTCTGAAGATTTCTTCATGACGACTTCGGATTTGACATTTAATTCAATGTAGGATTTTCAAAAATTAAGTTATGAATAAAAAGCAGAAAATTAAAAAAAAAATTAAAAATGATAACTATAAATGAAGATAACACCCAGTAGTAGCTGAGTGTTAGCACCTTGTTCTCCTGTACTACAGGTCCTGGGTTCATTCTTTGGTCTGGGCAAGGTTGACTCATTCCTTTAGTGGGTCGATAAAATGAGTACCGAGTATACCCTGGGACTAAATATTAGAGGTTCTCTGTTTAGACCACCAAACCACAGCATCTGCTCCTACACCCTATAGCAATAGTCAAGAAAACTGGGTACAGAAGACTTCATCCTTCATGGACTGGCGCGCCACTGAGTTTAGTTTTTACTTTTTTAAATAATCAAGCAAGAAATAACGTGTGAAAAATTAATTTTGATACGGATTTTTTTTCAGAAACTTTCCCAAATTTAGGAAATTTCATAAAATATATAATTGTTAGAAGAATTTTCGATTGTAACAGTAGAAACTGGGAAGATCTAGAATTGTCATATTCTTAATGAAACTTGATTAAAATTATGACAATAAGTTTTATGAAAATCACTTGAATCACAGAAATATTGATTATAATGGAACAAAAATTCAATTCTTACCACAGGAGAGTATTCTGTTTGTTCACGCAGTAATCTTTCTTCAGACAAAGAGTATCTAGCATCATGGGTTATAGCATCTACTGGACCTTTCTCAACCTGATGTTTGATTGCACTGAACAAAAGAAAAAGGGAACCACCGGCCTGATCCTGAAATTTAAGGTAAAAAATATAAGTTTAGGAATTAATATTAATACAAAATTTGTATTTAATATGTTATTGTTATATAACTGTTTAATTAACTTGAAATTTCCTTGCATTATTTCATCAAAATGTTTTGTTAGCTGTAAGAACATTTTATAACATGTTTATCCCATTCATCTCTTATCATGATGAAAATCTAGAACAGTTTATTTAATTTAGTTTACAATTGTGCATTGAAAATGCAGAATTTTTACCATTAGCTACGTACAAAAACTATTTATGATAGTTTCAACTAAAATTTTAACGATTTCTATTAATTTTTAACTATTTTCTGTCTCCATTTATTTATTTATTAGAGATACCAAATCAAAATAGAAGTTAAATGAAACTAAACATTCAAAGATAGAACTATGTATTACCTTTATATAGTTATACATGCACAGAGCCATCCAATTAGTTAACATCTTTTCAACAACTGATTCAGTTCTAAAAGATTATGGAAATCATTAGGTGTTATTACAAAACACAATAAATACCTAGCAATATTATTAAATGAAATAAAATATTTAAGATAAGGTTTAAGAAAGTCACATAAAAACTAAATACCTTCGAAGCATGAGTTGAGGGTGCTTGGTGCCAACATACTTATCAATCAGACGCAGTAACAATTCTTTCAAAATGCTAAAAATGTAACAACACAATCAAATAAAATTCTATTTAAAAATAAAGCTATACTCTGAAACAAAAGATTTATATAAAAATTTATTTTCAACAACATATTCCTTAACAACTGAAACATAAGATTTTAAAGATATTTTATATCGAAAAAATTAAAACTTTCATGCTTAGCTTAACATTTATTTATAGAGAAGAATGAAAACATTTAAATTAAAATTTACATTGCCTAATTTACATGGAAAATGATGCTTTGATGTTGGGTATAAAATGTACACATTATACTTTCTTTAAAAAGTTGAAAGAAAATAATGATGATTATACGTACCTAGTAGCATATTCCATTTTTTCCAAGAAAATAATCATTAGTAATGAGGCAACATTCACCCTGCAACACAGATTTTGTATAATATTTCAACAAAAATACATGCAAATATAAAACAATAAAGTATATTTTAAATGAAAATTGCTGGAAGTTTTCAAAAGTGAAATAAGAACTAAGTCTGATCTTTTTAAAATTTTTAATAATGATAGTTAATTGTACTTACTTGTCTCTGATGCTGAAAGACTTCTGTTCTTCTAAAGTCTCGATAAATGCAAGCAAAAAGTTTCGATTGCACAGAAGTTGTTCAAATTGAGCCATAGCAATTTCATACATGTTCTGTGGACCATTCATTTGCTATAATAGTAAAGATAAAAAATTTTATTAAAAAAATCAGATATTTGTAAACATAATTTTTATTAAAGCTAAACAATATTTTCAACTTCAAATTGTTTCCAAATTTTATAAAGTTCTTAATATAAACGTTTATAGAAAAACGTAACTAAAGTTTAAATAGCATATTTTTTCATAGATGTAAATATATTATTTAAATAAATTAAAAAAATTTTTTACATTAATTAAGTACCATAATTATATATGTAATAACACACTTCACTTTTGATTCATTCTACATTGTTGTTCATGAAATGCCAACACTTATAAGGTGTATGATATCTTTAGAGTTAGAAATTTATGTAGTTAAACAAAAAAAGAAAACAAAAAAGTTACAGTAAGATTGATAACTAAATAATAAAAAAATAGAAATTAAAAATACATCAAAACTAATTTAAAAAAGTAAGAAAATAAATAAAGCAAATAAAATTAAGAAAATTCTTTCTGATTAGTGTATTTACTGATGACATACATCCTTATCATTGTCTAATCCTCTCAAAAATAATCTTAATGAGTAACAAAGCAATTATTAAACAATAATACAAATGAATATTTTTCATCATAATTACTTTGCATTCTTCGATGACAGGATTATCAGCTACACCAGGGAAAAATACTTTCATTACAAATGTTCTGTGATCTAAAGTTGGAACACCAGTTGCCTGTATATCATTGTTTAAGTCCGACATATCAGTTTGAAGTTCGGCAAAAGCTGCAATGAGAAAAATTCATTAAATAACAAATACTTTGTATTATGCAACTCTGTGACTTTTCAAGAATCATTATTAAAACAGCTGCAGTGTGTTCTGTTATCTGCCTTTTTAGTACATATATTTATTTCTATTACTAAATAATGATTGCGTACATAATAATATTTAACTATTAAAAGACAAGCAAATTACAGCAACAAGACGAGCAAGCAGCTATGGCCTGTTCTGTACTCGTTGTCTTTAGTGTATATATTTCTGTTATTAAATAATGGTTGAATAATAATATTTAACCATCAAAGAAAAGATGAAAACATTAAAATTTTACAAACCATAATTAAGAATGACAAGAAAAAATAACATCAAAGAAAAGACAAGCAAATTACAATGATAAACAGCTACAGTGTGTTCTGTACTTGCTGCCGTTAGTATAAATATTTCTAAATAATTGTTGCATGCTAATGTTTTACCATCAAAGAAAAGATAATAAAAAAATTAGAGCATAATTGCTGTATGAGTTTTGAAAGTAATTAAATATTCAATCAAATGGGATTAGATGATTTTAATCTTCCTTTTCTTGTTAATGATTCAATAGTCTTTTCAAAAAAAAATTGTCATTGCTTAAATATTACATTCTGACCCCTACTATGTATATCTTATTTCCTTTTCAAATACATTCTAAAATTACATATTCTAAAAATTACGAATTCTAAAAATAAGACTATAAAACATTCACCATCAATTAATAACATATTCTTAAAAAATAATAAACCAAAGGAGGTAAACAATCTTACATATCTTGGAAGTATTAATTAACCATAAAGGTGGAAATGATGAAGATATAATAAATAGATTATATATGGCCGGAAGCAGTTACGCTATTCTCAACAAATTCTGGAAAAACAGCAAATTCTACAAAAATAAGAGTTTTCAATAGTAATGTTAAATCTGTCCTAATCTACGGATCTGAGACATGGCACTGCAATAAAAATAACATGAAAAAACCTCAAATATTTAGTAACAACAGTTTAAGAAGAATCAAGTGGTTTCATAAAAATTTTAATGCCGACATCCTTAGAAAAGCAAAACAGAAACTGATTGAACTGGATTAAAAAATTTAAATGGATTGGTCATGTTCTACGTAAATCTGAAAGATTTTAAGTAAAACAAGTTTTTGATTGGAACCCTAAGGGTAATCAAAAAACAGGAAGATTTAAAAATACTTAGTGAAGAATAACTGTAGGCGAATTGAAAACAGTAGAAAAGACATTGAGAAAGGCAAAACATATGGCCACAACTAAGATGATTTATAAGTTTATTTAAATTGCAATAGATGTTTATGATAAACTAATGAAGCTAGGAATAACTAAAATTCACCAACAAAAAAAAATTGCTAATGATTTATAGAATTGTGATAAATTTCATTATTTTAATTCCTTACCTTGTTTACATTCTGAACGGACGCTATTTTCCAAAGTATCCATCTGCAACTGAATACGCTTATACTCTCTTTCAGCTTGTGAGCTTTTATGCCTCAGAGCAGCAAGTATGCCAAGAATAAGAAGCATAAGTATGGCACCCCCAGCTGCGATCCCTCCTATAGCTTCTGGTGGGAACTCTGACGTTTTAGCAACTTCGTATCGCAGGTAACCAATTTGGTATCTAAGATTTGTTCCAGCTCTTACCTAAAAGTTAAAAGTCATTAAAATTACTAAATAATAATTTCATATAAATAGCTTTAATTAGATTCATGCGCAAACAATGATAAGTCAAAGCAGTAGTAAGATTATTTCAAAGAGCAAGGGCAAAAACTGCAAACTTTAGTTATTATATTAAAAATTTTTTAAACTTTTACATGAAGCTTTTTTAACAGAAATATACAGTTATCACGAAATTTCTCTTATCACCACTATTGTCAAGGTCTGGTTTCTTAGGACAAGCTCCTTATCTGAGCGTCAGCGGGACGTCAACGTCACGCTGACGCCAACAAAATACTGGTTTGTTAGCTCAAGGCCTGGTTTCTTAGAACTAGCGCCTTATCTGGGCGTCAGCGGAAAGTTGACGTAGATCTGACGCCAAAAAAATACTTTTTTGTTAGCTCAGCGTGAGCAGTCGGTCCAACGCAGACATTATCTCTCATTGCGCATGCGTTAATAACGTAAACAAATATTTATTTTGAATTTGTATTGATTTTGTTATTGTCGACCAGTGTTTTAGAGAACAAATAATGACTTTGTCCAAGAAAAAACACATTATAGCTGAGCTAAATGAAGAGTGCTATGTTTAATGAAGAAGCTATGTTTAATGTCAAAATCAAAATCTTGGCTGATTTCAATGTGCTGTTGGATGTTGTCCGCCATTGCTTCTGTGGTTAACGTCACGTTGTAATCCAACTGCAGTTGAGTTGGACGGCAATTGTAGTTCAAGATGAGCGTTCGATGACGTATACTATCAAACTCACAAATGGACCAATCAGAGGTTAGCGCTGATTTCCAGCTGACGGCGTCCTGTCCTAAGAAACCAGGCCTTCAGGGAACAAGAAAATGTGATAGATCCAGTTTACATTTAATGAAGGCCTTTGTAAAACAAAAAAGACAAAGTGAAACAGGGATGGAAATGAGCCATGTTCCATTGGTCAGGGGTTACTAAAATCAAATTCACACTACCATAAAATAATTAGCGGTGGTTGTTCTGAACCAGCAGCCGATGTTAAGGGATGGCGTGCTGTTTTAGTCTGTGTTTCTGTCTAAAAAAAAACCATACTTAATGCAAATTCCACAATGTTATTTTTTAATTTAAATTCAATTGATTAAATTTTTTTTAACACATATATATGTATAATAGAGACATTGGAGCTTTGGAATGTAGTACTGAAAATGTGTACAGATCTTTTGGTTGCTGGTCCAATTTCTACTCTTATACAATATATTAGGGCAATTAAGTTAATAAAAAAAGTTACACTTTAATTGTTATACACAAAAACTGGCATTATTGTTCAGTAATCAAGACACAATTAAATTCACATTTTTACATCTAAAAAATGTTAATAAATAGGTGTAAAGGCTTAGAGGGAATTTTCCTTATTTACTATTTCCACACTTAAACACATGTCTTGCTAGGAAAAACGGTTAAAATACATTTCCAAAGTCAATAGAAAATGTGTGGATTTTCATTGCTAGAAGTGTTCTTTATTTATAGATTAAAAAAAACAATAATTCATTATAATAAAAATTTAAAGCTCACCTAACTTCAATAAGAAAAGATTGTTAGATAAAAAGTTAAAATTTAACTTACAACAACCAAGGGCAGACTATTTTCAGTTCTTCTTCCCATTTCATCTGTACCAGGAGGTTGAACTTCAGGTGGCAAGCACACAAGTTGTGTCATACTTAATGAAGTGAGATTACAGGAACGGGTACCAATAGTAACATTGATTTCACCTTCAGTACTAGCGAGCCTCATGTTTTCTCCCTGAAAAAACATTGCCGTTAAACTTTCACAATTTGGTGGTATGGCGTGGTTGGTTGTCAATAGAAATAGTGTGTTTTCAGTGAACTTGATTTATATACAAGATATTTTATCAATTAATAATTGCAAACTACACACATGACATATTAAAAGAGTTTCTGAAAAACGGTTAATATATCATTAATATTATTATTAATATATCATTAATATTTGTAATAGTTTCTTTTTATCTTTATGTGAAATTCATGGTTAAAAATACTCCTTCGAAATAAAAAGAAATTTTTAAAAATGGAATCGTTATTACATAATAGCGTGACAAAAATAATATACTTTATTCATGTCATTTTTATTGCTATTTATAACTTTCATACTATTTTATTTGATCATGTTATTGATTATATCCGAATAAAAAAATCAAACACTGAAATGATATTTTTTGCGCATAGTTCGTATAAAAGTAAAAACATTAATTGAGTAATAAATTTCAAAACTTTACTTTTTCACAAAATTTCATTATTAAATTTAAAACACTAAACATATTTCTTATATGCGATAAAATTATTCAATTTGTTTTCATTGAACAAACACATTTGTGAAGTTTACAAAATTTAAATTATAGTTAACACATTTCATTGTATTTTGCTATAAAAAAATAATTATAAGTAAGTCTATAAGGGAATAGTCTACATCATAAAAAAAAATTATTCTGACTTGCCAACAATCATGATTACCCTAGCAAATTAGAGAATATTTTCACAACACAATGTCGATGCATTTTTTAAATATAGATTTCAGCAAACTTACCTCAATGACTAAAGATTCTCCTTTGTACAGTTTAACTCCATCTTTGCTGAGGACATAAAATTTAGGATCAGGAACATAGATTATTTCATTGGGAAGGGTGGGGAAATAATTCTGCATTTCCCGCACTGGCTGTACATCATCCATGACAAAACCTATCTTCAAACGCATCTCGTCATAGCTGCGCCAGTGCTGACTACGCAATTTCAGTGAATCAGGGCGTACAGCTGGTGAAGGGCACAACATGGTTGATGCATTAGTAACTTGGCATACCTATATAGAGATGAAGTATTTACTATTAAAATCAAAAGCATATAAGCAGATATGTACAGTACACAAAATAAAAAATGGCAAAATAGAAACTTTGAATGAAATTGTTCAAATAGCTCTCAAGGAATCAAATTAACTCATTTAAAATTTGATAACTCAAAAACCATTCAACCAATTGCGCTCAAATTTTGTCTTTTAAAATCAATTTCTCTAAAATGACATAAAAATTTTCAATTGAAATTGTTTCCACTATTATTAAATAAAAAAATTATTAAAAAATATTTCATGTATGGGATTGACATTGGATTATTGAATTACATAATTGTGTGCAAAAACGCTTTTAGTTCACTTAAAGAGTTCTCAATAAATGGGGAAATACACAAAAACTAAAATTAACATTAAGGAGTCTCCCTAAGTTTTGACTACTCCCCATACCAAACAATTGGGACCATATTTTCCATATTGTGGCTAAAGTAACCCTTCTGTGTCTGATTTTGTAAATTAAATTATTCTGCTCCATTTAATTTACATATTTAAGGTTAAAACCTCCAACAAATAAGATTGAGTTATAGTAGGTAAAAATACAATCACTAGATCCGAAGTTATTCAGGGTATTAACTCTTTTCGCGCACACTGTATAACATTTAGTTATACCGTGTGCGCAAAAAGATTAATAACATTTAGTAATAAGTTCAATTTCCTTCAAAAAAAAACCAATAAGACATTGTGTAAAAAATTATTTTAAATAAGAACATAATTTCAATTTTTATTATCTACGTAAAAGAAGCACTACAAGATTGATATTTTTTTAAGTAAAAATACGTAAAAAGTAAAATTATTTAAATTAAAACTATTTCTCCTTAATTTTATGTCAGTTAATTTGAATTGCATAGTAAATCATTGCCAACTAAAATTGATTTTGAGAGATAAAAAAAATTATACATTAGATTGAGTTATTATGGAATTAAGAGTGTGTGTCATAATTGTATCAAGTTGGGTTGAAAGCCTTCACCTTTTTCTAAAATTAATAATTAAATAATGTATGAATAAATTAAACAACTATCCGAAAAAACTTAGAGCAGTAAGATTTCGCAAATTGAGTAAAAATCCTTACTCCTTTAACGTTAGGTAATTAAAAATGCTTTGTACAATAAAAACTAAAAAACTTTTGTCAACTCCAAACTGTTTAACTAATAATGCATACCGTTTCATTAACCACGTTATGTTCATTAAAAACCATCATTCTTGGCTGCTGAACAGATGTGAGGTTTGTGCCCATCACTTTGACATAACGTCCTCCACTGAAAGTACAAAAAAATACATCAATTTTCACACAATTTAGTGTTGGTTTATTCTATACTAATTAAATTTAAGGTCTAATTCAAATAGTAGGCTAGCTTTCCTTATTTTAAAAAAAAATTGAGTTAGCTTCACTTTTAAGTTCACTTAACTTTGTTTTTCTTTCTTTCATGTTATTTCAAAATTATGAAATTCAGGCTTATTTCTGATGCTAAACATAAAGCACCAAATATCAGTCATGATAGGAAAAACAAAACACTCATTAGACTAAGGTTCTGTATTTAAAGAAAAGAAAAATTGCCAACTTATTTAAATAGAGCTTTCTTGATAATACAGTACACAACAAAATCCATTTCAATAAAATGAAGATATCTAGATAAAAAATAGATAATAATTAAAGATAGAAAGACTGAAATACCTATATTGCCCAAAAGCAGTCAAAATGACTGCATTGTGAAAGAATAAGTAATGTATAAAGAAATTTGTTTAATATTAATTTTTAATATTTTCAGTTATATAACAAGTTATTAGTAAATATCAACAACAAATATAAAAGTCACAAAATTCTAAGAAATTGTGTCATTACATACATCATTGTTTTTCGAATTGAAATTAAAAAGCAGTCAAAATGACTTCCTTGGGCAATCTAGTGTTAACGATGTAATTAACAATTAAATTTTCATGCAATTTCTATTCACAGTTTACATTATGAAATGTGCGTTAAAAATAAGCAAAGAATATTTAACACCTCAATATACATGAGAAATGACTAACCATAATACATTGAGTGCATTGTATTGAACATAAAAATAATTTGTTAAGAAAAATGCATGAAAAACTCTTGATAAATCAGAACGATTCACTTTACATAAGTAAATTATTACATTAACTTTTCGATCAGAAAAAAAATGTAAACCAAAAGAAATTTATGACAAAACAGAGAATATTTTTAATACTAATATTTTTTAAAATAGATATTTAAACATCAAAATTTATTCATTTGTGAGAAATAGTATAGTTATGAAGACAAATAAGTCTTTTCGGTTTAAAGATTTAATATTTTTAACATCCATTAAACAATCTAATTACCTCATAAAACTTTTCAATGGGTGAATGTACCGCAATGTGGGATCAGATGTGTAAGTGAAAGGATTAGGGTATGTTATATTAGCACCATCTATTCGAAGTACGAGTTGAGAAACTACATAAGAAGGCACAGAAGAACGAGAAGTTCTGCAGCTTATTTGGCTACTACTTGCTAAAGATCTGAAACAAATGTAGCAAAACATTACACATCTATTGCATGTTTAACAAGTCTTACACATATTTAGGAGAATTAAATGTTTTAAAAAATAGTCATTACACCGACTATTCGTAACTGCAAATTTACCTCTCAACTCGACAAGGCAAATCATCTAGCATAACTTCAATTTGGCTTCCAATGTTTAGGTTAGTTCCCTTTAGATAAAGTCTAGTTCCACCTGACTGAGGTCCAACATTTGGATAAACCCCAGTTAGTTCGATAGCCTAAAGATTAAATATTTTTTTAAAAAAATAAAAACTTATTTAAACATACAGTGTTAAAAGAATACATAAATTAATGCATATATGCAACATATTTTGAATTACTAGATTTCAGAATAAAGCTTTATTAATGAATATATTTTTTATTAGTTAAATATTAAACTAATAAATATTGCATAGAATAATCTAACAAATATTATGTAGATATTGAGGTACAAGAGCTACTAATNCCTTTGTATAGTTTAACTCCATCTTTGCTGAGGACATAAAATTTAGGATCAGGAACATAAATTATTTCATTGGGAAGGGTGGGGAAATAATTCTGCATTTCCCGCACTGGCTGTACATCATCCATGACAAAACCTATCTTCAAACGCATCTCGTCATAGCTGCGCCAGTGCTGACTACGCAATTTCAGTGAATCAGGGCGTACAGCTGGTGAAGGGCACAACATGGTTGATGCATTAGTAACTTGGCATACCTATATAGAGATGAAATAATTACTATTAAAATCAGAAGCATATAAGCAGATATGTACAGTACACAAAATAAAAAATGGCAAAATAGGAACTTTGAATGAAACTGTTCAAATAGATCTTAAGGAATCAAATTAACTCATTTATAATTTGATAACTCAAAAACCATTAAACCAGTGCGCTCAAATTTCGTCTTTTAAAATCAAATTCTCTAAAATGATACAAAAAATTTCAATTGAAAATTTTTCCACTATTATTAAATAAAAAATTTATTAAAAAATATTTCATGGATGGGATTAACATTGGATTAATGAATTATATAATTGTGTGCAAAAACTTTTTTGGTTTGCTTAAAAGGTTCTCAATAAATGGCAAAATACACAAAAAATAAAATTCAAATCATGGGGTATAAAGTTTTGTGACCATACAATTGGGACCCTATTTTCCATACTGTGGCTAAAGAAATCTTTCTGCATCTTATTCCACAAATTAAATTATTCTGCTCTATTTAATTCCCATATTTAAGGTTAAGACCTTAAAAAAATAAGATTGAGTTATAGTATGTAAAAATACAATCACTAGATCTGAAGTTATTCAGGGTAATAACTATTGTTGCGCACAACTTTTTTGTTATGTATTTCCCACAATGCTTTCATGCACATCTTAAAAACCACTGTATAAAGCTGAATAACATTTAGAAATGAGTTCAATTTTCCTTAAAACAACACAATTAGACATTTTGTAAAAAAAAAAATATTTTAATTAAGAACAAAATTTCAATTTTTATTATCCATGTAAAAAAACACTAAGATTGATAATTGCAAAGTAAAAAAAAACGTAAAAAGTAAAATTATGAAAACAAAACTATTTCTCTTTTTATTTTATGTCAGTTAATTTGAAATGCATACTAAATCATCGTCAATTAAAATAGATTCTGAGATAAAAAAAAAAAATCATACATTTTATTGAGTTATTATAGAATCAAGACTGTGTGTCATAATTGTATCAAGTTGTGTTGAAAGCCTTCACCTTTCTCTAAAATTAATAATTAAATAATGTACAAATAAATTAACCAACTATCCGAATATACTCAGAGCAGTAAGATTCTGGAAATTGAGTAAAAATCCTTATTCCTTCAATATTAGGTAATTAAAAATGTTTTGTTCAATAAAAACTAAAAAACTTTTGTCAACTTTAAACTGTTTAACTAATAATACATACCGTTTCATTAACCACGTTATGTTCATTAAAAACCATCATTCTTGGCTGCTGAACAGATGTGAGGTTTGTGCCCATCACTTTGACATAACGTCCTCCACTGAAAGTACAAAAAAATACATCAATTTTCGCACTATTTCTAGTTGGTGTTTATTCTGTACTAATTAATTTTAAGGTCTAATTCAAATAGTAGGCTAGTTTCCCTCATTTTAAAAAAATTCAGTTAACTTCCCCTTTAAGTTCACTTAACTTTGTTTTTCTTACTTTCATGTTATTTCAAAATTATGAAATTCAAGCTTATTTCTGATGCTAAACATACAGCACCAAATATCAGCCATGATAGGAAAAAACAAAAAAAAGTAGAAAAAATGAAAATTATACATCAATTTTCATACAATTTCTTGTTGGTTTATTCTGTACTAATTAAGTTTAAGGTTTAATTCGAATAGTAGGCTAAGCTTTCCTTATTTTTAAAAAAATTGAGTAATTTCCCTTTTAAGTTCACTTATCTTTGTTTTTCTTACTTTGATGTCATTTCAAAATTATAAAATTCAGGATTATTTCTGATGCTAAACATAAAGCACCAAATATCAGCCATGATAGGAAAAACAAAATTCTCATTAGACTATGGTTCTGTATCTAAAGAAAAAAATTTCTCATGTATTGAACATGAAAATAATTTGTTAAGAAAAATGCTTGAAAAACTTTTGATTCACTTTACATAAGTAAATTATTATATTAACTTTTTATCAGAAAGAAAAATGCAAACCAAAAAAAATTTATGACAAAACAGAGAATATTTTTAATAGTTTTAAAATAGATATTTAAACATTAAAATTTATTCATTTGTGAGAAATAGTACAGTTATGAAGGCAAATAAGTCTTTTTGGTTTAAAGATTTAATATTCTTAATATCCATTAAACAATCTAATTACCTCATAAAACTTTTCAATGGGTGAATGTACCGCAATGTGGGATCAGAAGTGTAAGTGAAAGGATTAGGATACGTTATATTAGCACCATCTATTCGAAGTACGAGTTGAGAAACTACATAAGAAGGCACAGAAGAACGAGAAGTTCTGCAGCTTATTTGGCTACTACTTGCTAAAGATCTGAAACAAATGTAGCAAAACATTACACATCTATTGCATGTTTAACAAGTCTTACACATATTTAGGAGAATTAAATGTTTTAAAAAATAGTCATTACACTGACTATTCAAGTTTGTAACTGCAAATTTACCTCTCAACTCGACAAGGCAAATCATCTAGCATAACTTCAATTTGGCTTCCAATGTTTAGGTTAGTTCCCTTTAGATAAAGTCTAGTTCCACCTGACTGAGGTCCAACATTTGGATAAACCCCAGTTAGTTCGATAGCCTAAAGATTAAATATTTTTTTAAAAAAATAAAACAAAACTTATTTAAACATACAGTGTTAAAAGAATACATAAATTAATGCATATATGCAACATATTTTGAATTACTAGATTTCAGAATAAAGCTTTATTAATGAATATATTTTTTATTAGTTAAATATTAAACTAATAAATATTGCATAGAATAATCTAACAAATATTATGTAGATATTGAGGTACAAGAGCTACTAATAATTTTTATAGCAGATAAATAAGCAATTTAATCTAACCTAATATTAAAAAAAAAGTCATAAATGTAAATTAAAAATAAAGATTTCATCCAGAAACCAGAATAACATCATATCATAAAAAAAAATTAAAGATTACAATTCAGTTTAAATTTTCTTAAAACAAAATATATTATTTGATTTTAAAACACATTATTTAGCAAAATTTTCGCCCATTAATATTAATTTAATTTCCAAAAATGGCTTTTTATAGATACATAAAAAAAATATTATTACATGATATTTTCAGTTATTGCTATCAAGCATTGAAACAAACCTTGTAATGAAATTTTTCCTGAGCTCTAGTCACACCAGCTCTGTTCCCTACAACAACTGCAGCTGCCATTGGTCCATTCATGTTCACTCCAGTTCGACAAACAATTCTGAAAACAAGAATATAGAACATTAAAATGTTATTTAAGAATAGATTTCCTTCTAACCGAAAACACACCTGAAAGTCTGTACAATAAAAATTACTAGCAATGTCATTTTAAAAAGACATTAAATATCTTAACGTAGGAATAGAAATTATACAAACCGAACAGATATGCTGTATTCTACGGGTATGCAAGGGATTCCTCCTATAGTAACTTTATCCTGTATTTCTTCCTCGCTTGACCCCAAGTTACTTCCTTCGATTGTTACTAAAGTACCTCCCTCTAAAGGACCACTCAGTGGATGAATCTACGCATGGAAAACATTAAAAATTAAAATATACAAACAAAAAACCGTACCTAGATATATTATTTTGCAAAACAACTTAAAATTAAAGTTAAACAAACTAATAAATTTAGCCAAGATAAATCTTTAAGCAATTAGATTTTAAAAATAAATAAATAATATTCCAGAAGTCAAATGATAAATACATTATTAACTCCAATTGACATATATGCTTCTTACAAATACTGTCTTAAAAACGTATGAAAAGAAAATAAGCAAAATATTACATATTCGAGATATTATTAATCAAAAAATTCATTTATTTTTTCTTCCATAAAGTAAAAAGTACTAATATTGAATCAATATATATTTCATGAAATTCTATGAAAAATCTATTATTATAATTTTCAAAGTAATAAGGCAAAGTTATTGATCGCAACATTCATAGAATATACTTATTCCCAGAAAATTAATTATAACTTAACAAATTGTAACAAAATATCATTCGGCCTAAACATTGCTCTGTAAAATAAATATTGAGACTAACCTGTTGCATTTCAAAGTTTCACTACATTTTGTTACATTTAAAAGTATATATATAATTTAATTCTATTTAATGCTTGTTAAAAAATACTGTAATAATAACGAAAAGTGTTTTAAATAATTTACAAATCTCTTATGAATGAGTTATTGCATTTGGAAGAAAAGTTGATCAAGTAAGAAATGTGAAAAATTAAAAATTGTTAAGTACCCAGTCTATGTGAGGTGGAGGACAAGATGTGGCAACAGGATCAATGCAGCTTTCACTGTAACTGCAAGATGAACCACACCAAGCACACTGATACTTGCGTTCTCTGGTCATACATAAGGAACAATCAGCACGACCACCATGGCTTCCCAGAAGGTGACATTTATAAAGAGTAACTATAAGATAAAAACAATTATGACTAATCAGAATCAATATAAAAATACGTCTATTATTACGAATGAACTCTATTTTTAAGATTTGAGCAGCTAAAAATTTTTTTAAAACTTTAACTAAATTTTAGTGAAATAGACTCCTGATTTCGATCACTTTTGAAAAGTAATGTTACTGTAACTCTTTAACATTTTATCACTTTTATGCACTTACATTTGGATAAAAATTTGAGTATTTCCCTTCATTTGTTTGACATAAATAAAATAAATGTATAAATAAGCATATTTTTTTTAAGTCTATAAATTAAATGATGAGCTACACAGGGATGGCAAGTTTCTTTTAAGGTGGAAGAAAACCATCCTGGAAGAAATAAGATTTCCTTCAACCCAATTTTTGTGTTATGTCACTTTTTAAATAATTTTATATGACTGCTTGAAAAAATATCTTTTATGTATAACATTAAATAAATACTATTTGTTACATCACAAAATTATAATTAGTGATATTTAAAATGTTAATTAATTACTAAACAAGTTATAAGAACAACTATAAGATAAAATATAGGACAATTATAATCCTATAATTAATAGATAAGATAAACTAAAAGAATTATACGATACATAATATACAATTATAAGAATGATTAACATTATTGCAAAACGTTACTGTGATATAAAAGATAGCATTACTGATTTGCATTGAGCGTGTTATACAAAATTTTTTGATTAAGTTTACCATTTGTTTTATCGATGAATGTATCTCCATTCCATAACACAGTCAATGATGCTTGTACTTGTCCAATTTCAGCTTCATATGAATACTAAACATAAAGAAGACATTCGTTAAGAAATTGTAAAATTTGTTGATGATTACTGTATAATTATAAAAGAAAATATTAAATATCTAACCATGTTCTCAGCACATATAACTGTGTTATCCCTGACACGAGCAAATACCCTTTCTTTAGCGCCTTCAATTTCAACTACGCATTGAAAACCTTCCTGTAAAAATAATATTTTCTAGTTATAGTATGAGTATGATTTTATATCCAACATTACATGGACATAAAACCATGGTGAATAAGTTAAATGGCACAAGAGGTAGAAATGATTTTATATCCAACATTACATGGATACAAAACCATGGTTTCATAGACAAAAATATTACATACTCAATTAAACAAATTCAAATGGTGATGCAAACTTAGTCTGGCATAAATTAAAAAAGATAATCAAACAAAATAAAATCAGAAAATATCAATAAGATGCCTTGGGGCCATTAGAATAATATTTACTTGCAAAAAATTTCACTGTTAATAAATCAAAAGGATAATTAAAACAAGGAATTAATTCAGAGATGAGACGGGCTCGTTTATTAAAAAAAGGTAACGGTCATGGGCAAGCTTCGGATTTATTATAAAATTTTTATAAACATTTTTTCTGTTTTTAAACAAAGGTTTGGTTCAATTATTGAGTATAAAAAATTACAGCGATCTGCTACTTCTGTTCGGTGCTTTTGCTTTGTGAGGCTATAGCTAATTGTCAAATGATTTTATTTAGGTTAAGATATTTATTATATTTTTTAATTTTTGTCTAGTCTTAGAGATCAGTTTTTTTCTTTTACAGGTTAGTGATAGAAAAAGTTTTAATTTACTAATTCCCTTTATTAGCAATTAAAGGTTATGTGAGGAGACTGCAAAACTTGACCTTCATCTGATATATATTTAGGACTCTAAGTAATGATATGTATCTCGGGCTTGAATTAAAATTCTTCTATATCAGACCTCCAAAAGCAAGCCGGAGCTGATCTCTAGAAGACAATGAACAATTAGTTAACTTTTTTACTAAACTTAATAACGAAATGTAAATATTTTGCACACCTTTGTTCTGAACATAAACTGGTTATGAAACATGTTAAGAGATTTTTCCTCTAACAAACACAAAGCAGAGTTTGTGTATTAAACCAGATGTTTCTTTTTCCTGGTTTCAGGGATGCTCTCAGTATGAGGCGAATGTTTACTTGAAAACAAAACAGTTAAAAGGCTCCGTCTCATTCTAGTTGTGTGTTATGTTAATCTAAATACAAGAAATATAACTCACCAAGGGTGTTAATAAATTCTTGATACCTATGGAGATTTCTTTGCGAACACCATTCGGTAGTAAAATTTCATCATCTATGTTGAAACTTGGACAATGCTGACGACCTTTTATAAGAGAATTCTGAGGATTCTGAAAATTTGAATATTTCTCATTAATGTTGAATTCTAATACACATACAACTAAATTAGAACATCATTTGAATGTAATGATGAGGGTAGTTAATGTCTATAACTTAAACACTCCCACAAACCACATGAGCCAGGTCACCTAGGTGACTAGAAAAACTCCTTACCTGACTAAATTTTTAAACATATTTTTATACTACTCATTATCTATTTCATAGGAATTACAATTTAAAAGATTTATTTCCTCAAAACATTTTGTTGAATTTGCATTTTTTAATTAAATATTTTACTCCTTTACGAAGAAAATGAGACATATAATTACGAAAAAAAGACATTCTTGGTCTCTTAAAAAAGTTCAAGATGTAAAAAAAAAAAAGAAACTTACACTTTCTCCGACAATAACTCTCCGGGAACATGTAGTAGCATTGCTAGTACATGTATTTTCATGAACGCACCAACTACAAGCCCATGAACTAGTTACACACGCTTTACATCTGTAATAAAAAATATATATATATTAAATAAGATAGTTCATATATAACATTTTCAGGATAAATGAAGAAAAACGGTAGTAAACAGTTGATATGAGTTTAGCATTGATTGAAGTGTTAATTATAATTAAATCAAAGATGTATAAATGCTTTCTCTACAAATTACCCGAGGATAGAAAAACTAAAATGTTGAAAAACTGTTGAGAACAATAAAAGTATCAACACAAATGCAAGTTTAAAATTAGTTATTCTTCTGGTTAAAACCCTAATCATAATATGGTCTCATGACTAATTTTTATTACAAATTTTTATTACAATTTTTGTACAATAAATGCATTACATGTATTTATTTTTCTAAAACAAAACTAATATTTTTAATTAACCAAATACACATATATTGCGTATCTGTATTATAAAGACTATCACTATAAGGTTCACTATAACGATACAAAGTTGATGGTACAATGTGGAAAACAGATGAGTATAAAGAATAAGTAACAAACAGTACAATAAAAAGAAATACTTACGTTCGATGTACTTCACAATCGTAAAACACAAAAGGTCGATGGATAAAATCAGTTTCTGTTTCACTCGACCGAACAGCAAGATTAACAGTTACGTGATCTACAAAAAGCATCAAACATTGAAAACATGCCCATATTTAATAATAAAATGATTTTAAATGTTTTTACAAAACAAAAACTATTATTAAGGAATAAAAATTATTTTAAATTAAATATATATTAAGATTATTGTTACAATCACACAAAAGATGCAAACCTTCTGTAGGTAAAATCGGGGGCCTTGCTGGCATTACTGGTGTCATACATGCCAATCCGGTGTGTGTTTCTCTAGCCTGAATAGGTGGACCATCACCAAATACGCATAAGTAATGGGCAGCATATGGTAGTTGTGGCAACTGGTGAATCACTAATTCTACCTAAAATTGTAATGAAAATTTTAGGAATTTCTCTAAGAATTATTGAAAAGTTAGCAATAAAATCTGATAATGAAATGATGATATAAAAAAGAACTTTGATTGCAGAGTTATAGGCAATAAGTTATTTTATGTCTGTATAATTTCAGTAACTTTTTAAATTCATAAAAAATGATAATTAAGGTTTAGAAATTTCTTTTTTAATGACTAAAAAATTTTAAGCAAACTAGTAAAAAAAAAATCTAATTAATAAAACCAGAAAAATATTATTTAAAAAAATTTTTATCATTTAAGTCTTTTTAAATACAAGAAACAAGATTTTTTTATCAGAGTTTTACAAGAAACAAGATTTTTTTATCATGGTTTTGCAAGAAACAAATTTTTTTTATCAGGGTTTTACAAAAGTTTTGAACATTGGAGATGAGATTTTAAGAAAGATCTGTTTATAAGAAACCAAAACCTTTAAAAAAAATTAAAGCTTTAAATTTAGTGAAAGATTTGTGTAGTACCTAAATTTTGAAAACAGTTATAAATTAGAAATATTTCTTTAATTTGATCTTTATAATGTAAAAACATTATGTAGTGTCTGGTTTGAAATGGTATTTATTCACTAAAAGTAGGATTTCTTCAAGAAACTGCTTGCTATCTAATAAATTTAATGAAAAAAAGAATATGAATCCAACTTACTATAGACATGCTTTTATAAGGCAGCTGATCAGGTCTTACAGCCTGAAAATCTATACATTGTTTTGTTTCTAAGGATAACCACCTGGGGGAGCTACGATCATTAAATGACCATGTGGCATTCTGGCAAGCAACCTTGATTGTACACCTACAATGAAAGTAAATTTCTTTTAACTAATATACATAAAATACTACATTGACAAATAATATCTAAACGTATATAGTGACAGAATTTGTTCAAATCTGACCATATCAAATAAATGATTGGACCCATAAATTAATTTATAAAAAAAAAAAAAATCCATTTAAATTCAAACTATCTTAGGATAACTTGGTAAGTTATCATGCCAAATCATTTTTAAAATATTTTAATTTCTGGTTCTGATTCTGTAGCAATAGTCAAAAATATTTTTTCATGCTTATACTTTCAATAAAAAGATTAAAAAAAAATAGCGAAGGTGAGATATTTAGAAGTTATTAGATTGAATTATGATTAAATAAAGTAAGATTATCCCCTTTATTTATATTTATAAAATTATATTTAAAAAAATGAAGAAATCCCATAGAATTTTTTATCATGATTAATTTAAGTGTTAGGTTGAATAATAACTGCAAACAGTAATAAATGAATTGCGTGAAGCATCATTAAATTACCTTGCTAATAATGTTCAAGATATATTATATATTGCTTCAAATTGCTTTTTTAAATATGAGGTAACAATTTTGAAATGAACAATATCATTTACTAAAAATGTTACATAAATTATGAAATTCAATCTGGAATTCAATTGACTGGAAATCTTAAGTAACCACAATATTTAAAAAATCTTCAAAAAAATTCTTTAAATTCTTATTTATTAGAGAATACAATATTTTAGTTTACTTTAAAGTTATCTTCAATATTTTTAAATAAGGAGAGAATTTGATAATGACAGATGATACGATTTTTTTTTTTCACATAGCTGTTTTGCGCTACAATTTGGAAATTTTTTTTTTTTAAAATATTTTTATGGGTAATAATTTTCGAAAATTTTTTGTTTCTAGAAAATAAAGATATATTTAAAAATTCAGCACTCAAACATCTGAAATTTGGCTAATGCGGATATTTATACTGTACTGTTGCGAATTTTCGTTTCTCTATTTCTGCTTTAATGGATTAGTTAACTAAATGTTTAAAACTTGATATGGGGACAATAATTTTAAATCCTTGAACACTTGTTACAAGTAAAATGAATAAATGTACCTCCTTTCAAGCGAGCACCAACCACAGTACGGATTTCTGGCTTGCAGGCATTTATCACAGGTACTATATTGTTGACAAGTTTCAATACGTATTTTGCTTAGCTGTAATAAAACAGAGTGAAATGTTAAAACTAAACATATGTACATTATATTAGGTCATGCGTTAGTATGACAACTGGATTACTTTAATTACCTTATAAGGTGAAGCTGCATAAACATATTGTTGAGTAGGATCTAAAACAACATCACCTATTATTGGATTACCAGAATCTACAACTACTTCCTCAAATTCTTCAGCTTCCATACTACTTGTTACAAGCAACTAAAAAAGATTATTATTTTAGTAAAAAAAGTTGTAAAATTAAAAGTAGAAAACAAAAAAAAAAAATAATTGTCTATTTTAAGCACCATTACATTAAATCAATGAAATTAAAAATTATGATTCAGTTGCATTTTGGACATTAGCCTATAGCACTGATATAGCTGTATGTTTATTACTTACTAAGGTAACCTTTCTTTTTATTATTAACTAAGTCTTAATTCTATATATAATCAGATATTTAGACAAAATCATTAACCATCATCATGCCATCTTAATAGAAAATTTTAGTTGAACATAACGAGAAAAAAAACACTAGTATGTTGAATGTTGATTTAAAAACTATTAAACTTTTAAAAAAAAGCAATAAAACTTTGAAAAAAAGCTATAGACTAACTGTAATCAAGAGAACCATAAAAAATATTAAGTGTAAAAGACAAGAAGTGATTTTTATATTTTGGCGAATGTCTACATTTAGTATTTTGGTGAATGCTAATTTTTTTTAAAAGTTTCTTTTTACAACAGCAAATGCCAATATTCAGTCTCTTAGCAAGGTTATAAGTGAGAAAAAACGTTACATTTTTCTTTAGTGCATGTTGAATGTTGTCATTTACTGATATACATGCATAATATAGATTTTTAACCAATATTCCAAACACTCAGAAAAACAATTATGTGGATGAAAGAATTCAATAGAAATTTGTTTAAACATTTTATTTTGATTATAGCTTAAAATGATTCTAAACTTAAAAAATTAAAAGGAAAAATAATAACGTAATGATTAAATAAGTTGTATATTACTTCACTTGTTGAAAGCTAGATAATGGATTTAAATCAGAGATTTGGAAAATGTATGCAGCATGTTCTAGTATGGCCTTTAAAAATAGAGCATTTAAAAATGGAGTAATTGTTTGGTAAGGTATGTGCATTGAAAAACGTCAAGCGAAACAAGAATTAAAGCACACAAATTATTAATAAAATTATAAGAGTGGCTATAAAGAAAGAATTTATAAAAATATTTATAAAACAGTATGAAATGCAATTGCATTAAAAAAAATACAATTATGTAAAAGAAGAAACACTATTCTCGTAGTTAGTACATACTTTTTTCAGCACTCCATCCCCTGTACCAACAAATGCAACAGTATGCTGACCAGTGGTAGTCATGGCTACGCTAGTAAGGGTGGTATTGGAATAAACTATAGCTGCTAAGGATGATATTGGCACGGATCCATTCAGTTTGACTGTTTCATTGCAAAAATTCAGTATGTTTCCAGCTTTCTGCAATGAACAAAATAAATTAATTAAGAGTTCAGTAAATATGAAGATAAACATAGAAGATCCTGAAATAAATAATTAGGCATTGTACAGAAAATAAGGCAAAAGCATATTATTATTGACTTAAACCATTTAACTGAGGACACTGAACAGTTCAACTTAGTTCTGGATATGATCTTTGCATTTCTGCATAGTAAACCAGGTCCCTCCCTCTGAAACTGTGCTTGTTAGAAAAATTTTACACTAATTTGCCCAGGAAATGCAAACGTTAAAGCAGGGGTCTGTTTAGAAGAAACGGACCTTCACAAAATATCTTTTCATAAAAACGGACCCTTCACAAAATATTTTAACTTAAAAACGGACCCTTCACAAAATATTTTAATTTAAAAACGGACCCTTCACAAAATGATTTTTCTTTTAATCGAACCCTTCACAAATTTGTTTATCTTCATTATTATTTTGTTAATCGAATAAACCCTTTCCAGGGCAGAAAACAAGAAAGATGGATGTAAACGAATTAAGTTTTGCCCTCAGCAAACGATTCTTCCATTATTAGTCCGAAATTAATATTCTGCGTTCAGCAATATAGGCTAAATACCAAATATTTGTATGTTGCATCTCTAATTTAGAAGCAGCAATTGTTGTTTATTTTTTAAAATTTAATTTTTTAATTATAATTTTATAGTGTTGAGCATAATCTTGTATGTCTTTACAATTTAAAAACTACTTGAATAAGTTTTTTTTTTTTGCAATAACGGACCCTATTTGCACAAATTCATAAAAGCGGACCCTGGTTGAAAGAATATGAGTAATTTTTTCACAATTTCACGAAAAACGGACCTTTCACAAAATGTCTGGACAGACCCCTGGTTAAAGAGTTAAACTATTAAATAATACCTAATGTTTGCTAAATTAAAAGTTTAACAAACATTCATTTCCCCTCTCCCCTTAAGAAAGATGGTTAAAAGGATGTTTAAAGAATGTAACAGAAAACATAAAATTTCGAAGATAGTTTAGAACAAATTAATATATAAATTTCACTAACAGTTCTGAGCACTTCTTTTTCATGTTTTAAATTTTTCTCAAAAAAAATATATATGTTCCTGCAAGTAAGTACAAGTCATAATCATTAGGATTACATTAGAAAACTTTAAAGATTTATACATGAAAGCTTTTACGTCATGACGCTAAATTCTTAAATAAATATAGGATAATTGATTAATTGGTTGTCAATTAATAAAAAAAATTACTATCGAATAAAAATTACTAAAAATTAAAGCAACCTCTGAAAGGAGTACACAACCTGCGGCCCGCCAATTGTCGAAATGCAGTCTTTGATAGCAACTGAACATAATGAAAAAATTAATATATTATAATATAATAAATATTATTATGTGTATATATTAATTAATATAATATATATTTTCCCCTTTTTAAAAATGAAAAAAAAAGTCGGAAAATTTGAATCGCGCATCACTTTTAAACACGCTCATATTGCGCATCGTAAATCTGTGGTTTTTCGATAGCTTTTCTGGCGAGTATAGCAACGCGTTTCCAATTCGTTTTAAAAATCTTATTATTTTTAATATATTATTTTTTCTGTAATGCAAAATTTTGTTAATCCAGTTATTATTTTTGACGCTTTTTATTTGTAACCCTTTCTTCGTTAATCCAAGCGACATTTCGAACTTTTTTGTCTGCAGTTATTGTGGGATTTCCAAGCAGTTTTTAAAATCCCGACATTTCTAATACGATATTAGTTCGAGCGAGTTTCCGCGCTCTGTTTCATCGTCAGTCTAAGCTCGTTTTTTCGGCAGTCATTGCTGTCTGAGGTTTTGAAAATCCTGATGTTTTTAATATGTATTATTACGACACTTGAATCACCCATTAAAATGTGTGCTCTATTTGAGATTTCATTGCAAAATATTTTTTTTTTGTGTCTTTTATTATTTTCGACGTAATTTTTGAAAGTCCCAATATTTTTAATACTATACTTTTACGACCTGAGAATTGCAAATCTCGTAATTTAATTACCACTTTGACGTGCTTTATTTCTGACGATCTCAACGTCAATTCAAGCCATTATGCACTTTTTTTTTCTTTCTTTTTTTGAAAATTCTGATATTTTTAATACAACTAGGAATGTAACGAATATTCGGCCCGTTTGCCGAATACTCGGTTGGCCGAATGTTAGGCCAACCGAATATTCATTGAATTTACCGAACACTCTTGGAAAAGTATTTTCTGATGATAAAGTTTCTTTTCTTTTTTAATTTGAATAAATTAAATTAAGAGTAATCTAAAATAGTATTTTATATTACACATTATTAGAAATAGTTTTTACACATATTTGTTAAGTTCTAAAAATCATGTGCTAGCAAATTTATGTTCTGGAAAACAATTGGAAAAGCGAAATTTGAAAAATTGAAATTAGAATATTTTATACTTAACCATAAATTTTTTGCACTGCTGATTTTTTGAAAAATTACTTTTAGGCAGTCAATTTGGTCTTCTTTTTTTCCAAAACTTTTCTTTTTAAGAATTGAGAACGATTTTTTCCCCCTCGCTTTCGCTGTTTTTATTATAGTGCGGCATTTTAAAAGAGCGTTTCTGATAGACTTCTTTTATTGTCTCTTCGTTTTCTTTTTTTTCTTTCTTTTCTGTACGGTAAGACAGGTAACCGGTAAAAGAAAGTTGTGATTTTGAACGTTAAAGTTATATTTTAAGAAATAAGAACAATTTTTTGTTTCAGTTTCTCTTTTGCTATTATTAACTTTCTTTTTCAGCATTTTTAATATGACACGGCATCTCTTTTAAAGAGCGTTTCTAATAAACGTTTTCTTTATTTTTTTATCGTCACTTTTTTCTAAAAATACGGTAATGTGAAAAAGTTAGATTTTTAGCATTAAAAAGTTAAGAACAAGTTTTGTTTTGGTTTATATCTAGCTTTTACTTTTTTAAAAAAAACCTCAATGTTTATCAACGTTTTTATTATGTCGCAATTAAAAGGGAATTATTAGACTTATTTATTTTTTTCTTCACTTTTCTAGAAAATATAGTAATTGGAAAACCGAGATGTTTAGCTTTAAAATTTAAAAAAATTAAGAAATTTTTTTATTATTTATGCTTTGCTTCTGAATATAATCTTTGTTTTAATGGGCATTTTTAAAAGCGATAAAATATATTTCTTTTAACGTTTTATGGATACTTTTCCAGCTAATATTATTTTTAGCATTAAAGTTTTGTTTTAAGAATTAAAAAGTGGTTTTTTTAATCAAAAAAACACATTAAAAATTGTATTAAAAAACTAGATTATTTATAATTTATGAACTATTGGCATCGCGAAATATAATTAACGTATGTTGATGAGAATTATAAATAGTTCCATGCATATAAACAGTATTATTAATATTAAATCTACTTCTGAAGATTTAATATTAATATTATAGCATCTTCTTCCATCAATTATATATGTATAAAGCAATTTTGATTTAAAAGCAATTGCGAGGCCTTTTCTCTCTCCATGGATAATAGATTAAATTTTTGTGTCCCTGGTTTCTTTAAGTTTCTTTGTTCTTATCACATTTTTGATGATAGAGTATTATTTAATAGTACAATAAATATTTCAGAGAGGGTGGAAAATTAAGTCGTCGCTCTATTAATTGAGGAAGTAAAGCTTGGTAAAACTTCGACGGATTTTTTTGAAAAATAAATATGTTTAAAGTAATAAAATTATGCAGTTAGTAATTCTGAATAGGTAATTTAATATTGCACACTTAACTAGTTTCATAATTTTCAACATACATTTTTACAATCGTTTAAACCAGGGGTATGTTTTGGGTCCGTTAACGGACCCTTCACAAAATGATTTTTCTTTTAATCGGACCCTTCACAAATTTGTTTATCTTCATTATTGTTTTGTTAACTGAATAAACCCTTCCGAGGGCAGAAAACAAGAAAGATGGATGTAAACGAATTAAATTTTGTCTACGGCAAACGCTTCTTCCTATATTCGTCCGAAATGAATATTCTGCGTTCAGCAGTATAGGCTAAACACCAAATATTTGTATGTTGCATCTCTAACTTAGAAGCAGCAATTGCTGTTCATTTTTGAAAATTTAATTTTTTTTTATATAATTTTACAGTGCGGAGCATAATCATGTATCTATTTACAATTTAAAAACTCCTTGAAAAAGTTTTTTGCAATAACCGGACCCTATTTGCACAAATTCATAAAAGCAGAACCCTGGTTGAAAGAATTTCTTCACAATTTCAAGAAAAACGGTCCTTTCACAAAATGTCTGGACAGACCCTTGGAAACGGATAAAAACTGATTTGGTTGATCCAAAAAAATTCTATATATCGTAAATTATGCAAATACAAAGATATTCATGCTAAAAACAACAGGCTAAATACAGTATTCTAAACTACCTTTTCAAAAAGAAAAGAAAAAAAATGGCTGAGTGCAAACAAAATTGCATTTGGTATAATTTTAACCCCCTCCCCAATTAAATTCTAGAATAAAGCCCGCTGTATTGTTGTGCAATTAAGAGAGAGGGGAAAAAACCAAGAACAAATTCTAATTACGTTACAATAACATCGCACTTTATATTTTCCAAAAGACACTAAGGAATACCGAGTACAGTAAATATCCATTATCAATTCACTTAGAAAATGAAATGAATATGGGCTAAAGGTGTATTTACATCTTACAACATCCCTTTGACGATTGAGTTCGGTAGTTAGAGAAAAAGCTTCTTAAAATCATCCTAATAACTTCGCAGTAACATAAATAAGTATAATTTTATTCTATTATTCATAAAATATTATAAGAGATGATAGGCGAAAGTATGCAAATATTTTCTAGTAATGAATGGTTTCTTAACACATGATCTTTTCCGGATTTCAAGGACATGTCGTCTTCTTTGAAAAGAAAGATCGAAAAGTATCATGAAATATGTATGCGGACGACAAAAATGGTGACTTTCTAAGATTTCCGTTCT